CCGTCCCCCTCCCCCTCCCACCACCCCTCCATCTCCTTCACTCCAGGGTCAAAGTTTTCACCTTATCTGGAAGCCATCAGCAGTACCCGTCCCACCTCTGTGACTCAGGGTTCAAACTGTGGCATGGCGCTAAGAAAAAAAGTCTGAGAAGTTTGAAAACACACACACACACACACACACACACACTTATACCCGCTCTCACACACTTTTAAAGCAATACTTGAGCAGCGAGGTAATTCAGGTTTCCTGCCAACTGTTTCACTGCTGCTCTGCCACTCACTGCTCGTATTGTCTGGAGGGCAGCCTACGGGGGGAGGTTCTGTGATCCAGTTTACTATTTTGGCTGGGCTTTCTTCTTGCTGTGTGGTCACGAGAGAGAACGGCACGGCCAGCAGGCATGGAGGACTCTGGTCGGCCACAGCCCGACAGAAGCCACATGGTCAGAGGAAGGAGAGGGAGAGGGAGAGGGGGAGGAAGAAGGAGAAGGAGAGGGGGAGGAAGAAGGAGAAGGAGAAGGAGAGGGGGAGGAAGAAGGAGAAGGAGAGGGAGAAGGAGAGGGAGAGGGAGAGGGGAGGGAGAGGGAGAGGGAGAGGGAGAGGGGGAGGAAGAAGGAGAAGGAGAAGGAGAAGGAGAAGGAGAAGGAGAGGGAGAGGGAGAGGGAGAGGGAGAGGGGGAGGAAGAAGGAGAAGGAGAAGGAGAAGGAGAGGGAGAGGGAGAGGGAGAGGGGAGGGAGAGGGAGAGGGAGAGGGGGAGGAAGAAGGAGAAGGAGAAGGAGAAGGAGAGGGAGAGGGAGAAACACTTAGAAAAGCTATAGGGTGAGGAATGTGGGTGAGGGTTAGTCTGGTTTTCTCTTTCATGTTCTCACTTTTTTTTCCTCCCTCTCTCTCCCCCTCTCCCTCTCTCCCTCTTTCTCGTATTTTCCGTCTCTACCTTGTGCTTCCTTAAAACTTCCTCCTCCTTCTCTTGCTCTTGCACTTCAACTTCAGACACCCTGGTCTAACCAAACCTCAACTTAAGCCCCCGTCTATCTCTCTGTCGTCCTCCTCTTCTCCCCTCCCCCCGCTCTCTCTCTCTCTCTCTCTTTCCTCAGACAGACACATCTACCCTCCTGGACGTTTCCTTTCTGTCGGCCTGCCCCAACAAAGGTGCTCAGTCATGTGAAACCTAATCTCCAACCCCCCAAAACCTGACCCTTGACCCCTTCAGTCTTCACACAGCCAGAGGGGGAGGGGAGCCAGGGCAGGAAAGGGAGGCTTTTGGGAAAAGGTCACATTCCCGAAGACACTTTCGTATATGCACGTGTATGTGTGTATGTGTGTGTGTGTGTGTGTGTGTGTGTGTCCTTGTCCAGCCTATTATGTGGTTTTTGTGTTCCAGCAACAGCATGTGCATTTGATTCCCCGTCTGTGTACAACTGTGCCTCTATAGTCCTGTGTGTTTGAAGGTCCTCTCAACTTTTCATGTACGTGCTTGCTCGTCTGTTGTACAGTCCATGTATGTGTGTGTGTGTGTTTGTAGCCCAAGTCACACCGTATGTGCATACGTGCATGTTTGTGAGAAAGCACTTTCAGCCCTGGAGCATCACTGCCCATAGACAAAACACAGACTTTGTTTTCGAGTTGGGCCAGACCTGTAAGTCTTGTCTGGGCAGAGCTCCGCTCCTTCCACCCTATACTGGCAATCCTCAGATCTGTGTCTGTGTGTGTGTGTGTGTGTGTGAGGCACTGGGTGTCAGCTGTCCTGGGTGATTAGTGCTTTTATATTGTTCCAAGGAGCCAGGACGAGGCCCCCTCTTCACTGCAGCCCAGCACAGCTGCAGCCTGCCTCTTCATCTCTGCTCCTCAGGCCTCCTCTGCTCCTTCACACCCTGAGTCCGAACCAAGAGAATGTCAGACTGTAACAGAGGCAAAGGCTGCAGCAAGAGCAGTGGGGAGATTATCCAAGGGCAAACGGCAGGACAGTGTGAATATAACCAGGTGAAAAATGAGAAAATGAAGAGGTGTAAGGCAGCGGGACAGAGAGGGAGAGAGAAGGAGAGAGAGAGAGAGAGAGAGAGAGAGGGAGGGAGGCGGAAAGTGGCATAATATTAGTGGGATTAGAGTCAATTCAACGAGCCGGCGCTCTCCTGGACAGGATTTCCCCGGCTATGCCTGGGAGGCCTCCGCTGCTTTAAACACACAGGCAAGTCAGGACAGAAAGGAAAGCAAAGAAGAGGATGATGGGAAGAACAAAACCAAGAGAAAAGACAAAGGAGGAAGTGATTTCCTAATCTTTACCCAGGCTGTTCCCTAAAGAGGTTTTATTTTTATTTACTCCTCCAGAACGAGAGCAACTTACTGCAAACAATCAGAGTACTACTTTTATGACTTAAGGACATATGTGTACCCAAGGAGGAAGAGGAGGGGGGAGGTTGGGGGTGGGCAAGGGCCCAAATCTGCTCTGGGAAAAGTATGCCTGCTATGCATGGGTTGTTTGGTGGCGGGATTTGTGGGCCACAGCATTGTTGCTCTCTTGACATTGAACTTGAGTGAGAGACAAGGGAGTTTGGGGGGAGGGGGGGGGGGCTCCATCCTGAAACATTGGATGTGCATGTTTATGTATGTGTGCAGAGAACACACACAGGTTAACAATTTCTCACTCCAAACGCCCACCCGGCCGCCCCCACTTCCTTGCAACTCTGCTTTATCTTAACTGTCAACACCTGGCCTGAGCAGGAACCTCTCTCTATCTGTGAACTTTAATCTGTGCCCTGCTAGGCAAACAGCACCAGGCTTGGACAAGGAGAGCGATTAGTCTGTCACGTTGCCCTCCAGTGCTCCGGCGGGGAGAGAAAGGGAGAGGTTTGAGACAGAGAAAGAGACTGGGATGGAAAGAAAAAAAAACTTAGATATTACTTAAAAGGGAGGGAGGAGGTGAGGAAGGGGGGCGTGGGGGCAGGAGAACAAAAAGGGACGAAGGCTGAGCTGTGGCTGAAAGAGACGTTCTGTAGACAGAAAGAAAAAAAAAATAAGACAAGACAGGAGGAGAGACGGGGGACGAGAGGTTTGTTTGAGAACACTCGACTGTGGACTCGAGATATGGGCCGCATATAAAAACTGGACCGAGGTGAGCAGTCAGGTCAACAGGGAACACCCAAAGTGCAGCGTTTCAAAAGATGCAGTTTGTATAGAAGTCCAAATGCATTTATGTCATAGTCAGCCGCCATTACTCCTGATTATCTTAGGAGGTATTCAACTGGCGGTCCTTGACCCCTGGGAGGTCTGCCGAGGTGTACTCACATGTATTCTTACTGTATATACGGTGTATCTGAATCCCTAGTATTCACTTTGTTTTGGTCAAGGTTTTGTTTTTGTCTTGGGAAAAGGTCATTGTCTTTGACAAAAAGGTGCAGTTCCACAAATTAACACTGGACCGGGATTTTATCTGTTATCGCATCAGTTCATGCAGCTCTGGTCCCTAACTCTGGTCCTTTGTTCTGGGTACCATCCCACCCTAACTGGAGAAGGTAGCATTATTGAAAAAAGAGGAAGTCAGAAAATTCAGATCATGTATGTAATACATTTTTTTTTATTTTTTTCAAGACAAAATGGCTGAGTGAAGAGAATAATGCAGACAACAGCTGAAAATAGAGTGGCATCTCCGTAACTGAAAAAAAAAAAAATTACAACAACAACAAACAACAAAATCTGTAAGTTGAGCAAAAACTGCTAAAGGTGGGTCAGTGAACTTTGGTCATCAGACAGAGAAGTGAAGCTGTCAAGATTCACCGGGCGGGAGAGAAGTGGACTGATTCGTTTTGCAGGGCCTCTGTTCAGAACAGAGCGTACGTACGTGTGTTTATAGTCATAATAAATAATGTCGACCACTGTCGCAGGTCGACTTCAAGTTCAGTTCAGAGCAAGTAGCTTGAGCGTAAATACAGAACACAGGATGAGATCAGGCTGAAAAACACAAATGTACCTTGAAAACCATCAGCGTTGATGAGACGTACCGTACTCTCTCCGTGATTTCACCTACATTTAGGATATGCCTTGCATATGACATGTACCACGTTTAAATTATAAAGCACCATGGTTCATTTGGCAATGACGAAACTCAGGAAAACTCAAGATAATGAACAAAATCTTAACATAAAACTGCAGCAACAAAGACTGTTGTTTGGATCGGTGTTGGATTTGATTGCATATGACAAAGGTTCTTTTTTTGTTTGTTTTTTTGTTTTTCAAAAATGTCTGGAATGTTATCAGGCGGTACATGTTCAAGGACAGTAAAAAGTTGGCTACCGAGAAAAAACCCAACAATAGCTTGTATTACTGCATATAAAATGGCAGGAGAGAAAAATATATAAAATAAACTAAAAAGATATGTACAACCACCTGTTTTACCTCAGTGTGGTGGCTCCAGCACGGACTGCCTGAAAAGGCCATTACATGACCTCTCACCCTGCGGGGTCGCCACATTTTATTTTTCAAAAAAACAACGAAACAACAACAAAAAAAAAACATACTTTTTTTTTCAAGCATACAAATTATTCACACTATATTATCCTGCCAAATTAAGAAAATATACGGTGGCAGCTTGTTGGGATTTTTTTTTTCACTACAGAAAAAAAGGGTACATTGAAACCTTTAAAGAGTACAGGCAAAAACAGTTAAAAATACAGGCTCCAACATAAATACTATAAGTGCCTACGCTAAGTGAACATTAATTTCAAATACCATTCTAAATACAGGGAAAAAGTAGACCATAAATGTGTTTTCGAACACGGGGACGTATGTGAGCGTACGTCTGCCCATGTTTTAGCTTCTCTCTATATATTTCTATTTCATAAATCTCTCCCCGATGCTCATTTTTGTTCAACCTGAAGACTTGTGTAGAGTAAAGGCAAAAAATTATGAGACATGTTCATCACGATTCATTACATAGTGATCAAGTGCCGGATGTCACAGACAGAAAAGAGAGACCAAATCGCAAACCCCAGGATTTTCCAGAAAAGTTGGTACACTTTATAAAAGATGTAAAAAAAAACAACCAAACAACAACAGGTCGCGGTGGTGAAGAGCTGCACCAGGGCCAAGAAAATACCATAATGACACTCCTGTTGCTATTGGTGACACATACTAGGGTAAATTATTGTTGTCATTCCTACAGATTTTCTGGTGTTAATGACTAAAACCAGTTCAGACTGGTCTCTGTGTCCCCAACAGCTTTGACAAGTTTGACCGTCATATGTTTTTCACTTAAATGAAAACCTGTTCAAATGAAGCTCACCAACAGTTTAGTTCTAGAATCATCTGAACAAACTGAAAGAACATTTAAAGGAAGTGGATTCTAGTCCTTAGAATAGACGAAGAAGCAGGTCATGACCTGGGGTCAAAGGTCAGCCTCAGGAGTTTTACTAAGAAGGAAGTCTCTGATGGAAACACCACTGAGGACAAGAGCAGACTGACTTAAAAAAAGATCCTTGAACTGGACTTTGTTATTAAGGATACGATGACGACATTGACTAAAAACAACAAAAGTCTTTTCTTTGTCCTTTTGACGGATTATTAACGGTTCACTAAAGTGCATGACCTAATTGTTTTTACTTAACTTTTAAAAATGTACCAACTTTTCTGGAAATGGTGTTTGTAAAAATATGTATATATATGTATATATGTAGACATATATACATATATATACTGCTTGAAAGATTTGATTTCATTTCTATAGTTTGGCATGAAGCAGGAGATTTTTATGGCTGTTCCTGCGTTGATACCTTTAAGAACTGATTCAGTTCTCAGAAGAAGACATGGCTGGCGACACTTTTCTTTCAACCCATGCTTTTGTTTTTGTGTTTTGTTTTTTTCTTCTTTTTTTGTTTTCCTCGTGATATTTTTAATGCAAAGCAGTGACACCTAGCTAAAGTTGTCAGCATAAGAGCAAAGTTTTCCCTTGAGCGTCTGACTGTAAACTGGGAAAATTGAACAGTGCACGTTTTTAGTCCCGGATCTGGAATCCGGTTCTTATTTTATACTCAACCACTGTACCTCCGATTAGAGAGACAGATACAGAATCCAAGGCAGAGTGACAAGTGCTATATCATCGACAATGACGTGGGGAATGGAGACAAAGATGCAACTGTAGGTTGGAGCAGTGATTCCCTGACACTGGACTGGGACCCCAGGGTGGGTTTGGGGGCAATTTACAAACTACATTTCCCGCTGTACGTTTAAAGACGCTACCTTGCTTAACAGTTCAAAAAGTTTAAGATTTTTTTGCTGTGTATCCTTTATCTTTAATAATTGATACACAAGTCCAAAAAATTGGAAAAACAAATTCCTGACAGATGTGTTGCTATATTGTCATTCAAATGACTCCCGTTCATCCAGATTTGTACTGAAAAATTAGGTCAGAATGGTTTGCTACCTTGAATAGACTGAGGGAACCGCTGCTCCAGACCATGTGAACTCTCTGGGACACAGAAGTGTGTCAGTTACACTCTAACAAACCTGTGAGGAGGGGTACTTTGTTTCAAAGAAAAAAAAAATAACCTTATTTCAGACCCATCCAGCATCTCCATAAGAACCACACCAGAGTGTGCCTGGGTAACTGGGCTTCAAAGTGGACTGTTCAAAGTTGGACTGATGGTATGACCCACATTCAATTATAGCCCACTTGTAGGGCAGCCATATCAAGATATCCAATTATTTGTGGCACCCACATCCACTTTATGAGACACTTTTATGTGACCCATGTAGGCATAGAGTGGTCCACTTCTGTTGGGGTAGTGGGCCACAAGCTGACCAAATCAGTCAGCCAGATAAAAGGCGGGGGCAAACAAAGGAAAGAGCGAGGGTTTTTGGGTTGCACGATGTGCGTTAAATAGTTTCATAGCCCATAACTTGGACAGCTAACTTTGTCATCTGTGATTGGGCTGCAGAACTGTCAGATATAACCCACGTCTGCAGGTGGTCTTAACCTTCCCAACTATGTAGATGCTGGATGAGCGACTCTTAACTTCTGATTGGAGTTTTCCATTTTAAAGTAATTTCCAACATGGATTAATGAAAATAAAAGGGTTTTCATATTAAGTAAAGTTTTTTCTTCTTCTAAAATCTACTGCAGTAAAGAGAGTAAGCACTAAAAGGACATAAACATTTGAATTGTAGAGACACCTGGTTAACCCACTCCCCACCCACTATTCTGACCCTCCACCCATCCTGACCCTCATCATACACCCAGCCAAAAACCCCCTAGCCCCAACCCTCACCCTAAATCTGTCTGGTTTCGAGCAGCTAACCCCCCAGTCCCCTCCCCCATGGTCTTCAGGTGGCTGCTGGCTACACTGCCTGCCTGGACACGGAGGAGCTGCACATCTGTGCTACTTACAAAAAAAATAAGAGGATATCTGCAAACTTTAAACTTATTAAAGAAAATAAAAGCACTCTGGGAAAATTAAGAGCTTCACGTTGGTTGAAAACGACTCCCTCTCAGTGTGGTACCAACACGTACTGGGAAATAATGAACACCTAAAACCAAAACCAAAATCTACACCTCGATCACTTACTCCGTTCCAGCATGTAGCATGCCCGTAAACAGAATCATGATCTGGAGAATAACAATATACACATGAGTCAGGCAGAGAAATGATTTACCAGAGTTACACATAGTCATTCTTTTTGTTCTGTTTTTCTTTCAGCTGGTTCTGTATCCTCTGCTAAGTCACAAAACGACAGGGTCGTACAGGCGCTTGATGCAAGTACCTGCAAATTTCATATGTGCACAAAAATGTCCTGTAATCTTCCGTAGCTGAAACTCTGAGCTTATAGCAAAAAACAAAAAGAGTATTAACTAACGCGGGTAAAATATCCAAGGCACTCTTTGTTGTAATTTCACACCATATTGTAAATTTCATTGCTGTTTGTACTAGAAATACTTAACGGCGCCAGTGCCTAAGGGTTCATAGGCAGCCCAATTTTTTTTTTTACATACTATATATATATTTTTTTTATCTCAATCTTGCATTGAAAGTCTTTCACAAAGATCAGTTTTAAGTGTGACCCTGCATGTCGTGACGTTTTCGATCATATGTGATACTGTCCACGATGTTAGAACACAAACCTGTACATGATATGTAAAACAGTATGGACTGTGTGCAGCATGGGTTGTCATATCTAGAATCTATTTTTTTTCTTTTTCATGTCGAAGAAATCAAAAGTATCAAGAGCAACACGTGTACCACCAAACCCACCAGCCGAGGACAAATTTCTCTCTAAGTAGCCAAAACACACTGAGCATGCTGTCCAGTTACAAAAAAATACAAAAACGTGTAAATTATTGCACAATAGAAAGGCTCAAAAAGTTTTGCTTTTGGTGCAATAGTATTGCCCCAGTGATGGATCATGCATTCAGCTCTTTTTTATATTCGGGGATTATCACAGGGCTGTACTGCTTACTGGTGTCTAACCCTGTCGTCCTTTTCCCTCACTTATCGACGTGTCAGCCGGGGTTGCTTTTAGCCAGAGGAGCTGAGTTAGAGAGAACGACCAGCCAGCGCGCTGCTCTACTCAGTCTTAATTTCATTAGCCAGAGGGCGGTCACTGTGCCATTTCTTCATGTGTTTCTCCAGCGTGCTGTAGACACTGAAAGGCATGTGACAGATTTCACATTTGTACACGTCCTTGCCCAGCTGTCCGTGGGTCTTCATGTGGCGGGTGAGCTTAGAGCTCTGGGCGCACGCGTAGCTGCACAGCTCGCACTTGTAGGGACGCTCTCCAGTGTGACTGCGCCGGTGCACAGTCAAGTTGCTGCAGTTCTTGAACACTTTGCCGCAATACTCACAAGTGTCACTGCGGCGGCTGTCCTTGGAGTTCGGCCGGCCGTTGCCGTTCCCGCCGTGGGGAGTGCTGGCCCCGCTGCCGGTGCCGCTACGTCCCGAGGCAGCACGTTCTCCGTCCAGCTCACCTGGTGGGGTGGAGAAACGAAGGCTGCCGTTCTCTGACGAGTGTTCAGACGAGGAGGCGAAGGGCGATTGTCTGGAGTCCCCGCCTGTGAAGCTGAGGAAGGGGTCCTTGAGTTGTCTGGAGGCGGCGTAGCCGGCGAGCCACTGAGAGTAGACATTTTCCGTGTTAGGGATGGTGGGTGTCGGGGGGTCGATGTCCTTCTCGACCTTGATGCGCTTGGACAGTGGACTGAGAGAGCCGGGACTTACGCGGCCACCAAGCAGCTTCCGTGACAGGCTCTCAGTGGACAGGGGCCCCAGACCATTGATGGTAGTTGTGGTGCCGTCATCTGCACGGTCTGACTCCATGGCTGAGTCGTCATCAGCAGGGTCCTGCGATGAACTCCGGCGGCGTGGATGCAGGGCGTCACTGTTTTGGTGGTGACGGGCCCCTTCAAGCCGCAGGCTGAAACGATAGTCATTCCTCCCGTCCTCCTCTTCCACCACAGGCTTATTCTCAACTTCTTCCTCCTCTTCTTCTTCCTCCTCTTCTTCCTCTTCCTCCTCCTCTTCCTCCTCTTCTTCCTCTTCCTCTTCATCTTCCTCTTCCTCTCCATTCTCGCGCAAATGATTGTTGTCACTCTTGTACTTGGCCACCACGGACTTGAGGGCGTCCGTGGCGCTGCCTATCAGCTCACTAGTGCCAGGTTCAGGAGAACTGGCAGTGGAGAGGCCGTCGTCCGACTTGGCGTTAATTGCTGACGACTTGTTCTGAGAGTGCGTCTTCATGTGTCGTTTCAGTTTACTGGCCTGGGTGCAGGCATGGTTACAAAGGTGACACTTGAATGGCTTTTCCCCTGTGTGGCTACGCCTATGAACAATTAGATTGCTCTGGAACTTGAAGGTCTTCCCACAGAACTCACAAGACTTTGCCTTGAGAGGTGTAGCTGGCTGCACTGCATTTGTGATGGTGTTGGGGGTGGAACGTGAGCCAGAAGGTGACTGAGAGGTGGAGAGGGGAGGTGTGGCTGAAAATGGAGGCTTGGAACCTGGCTGGAATGGCTGCAGTAGCCGTTGCATAGGGTTAGGCCTGTTAGGGGAGAGAGGGGGCGAGGACCCCGTCGCGTTCCCAGCCAGCTCACGTAGACGTCTGGAGAAGTCCATGCTCGGAGGGATTTCTAATGGTACTGAGTTTAGCCTCATCACCCTGTCAAAAGCACTGGGGTGGTGGGTCGCCAAGGTCAGGTCGTCTGGACTAAGGTGATGGCGCGGTGGAGGGCTGAAGAGAGGTGGGGTTCTGGGATAACGGCCCTCCCGAGGCGTGGATGCAGAATCCCTGCCAGAACCTGAGCCTGGCATCCGGAGAAGGCTGTAAGGACTGCCTTCGGCCAAGTGGACGGCGTGAAGAGGCGGCTGGGAGGAGGCGCAATCGCCCCCCATCCCGGGTGCTGTGGCCACGCGGGGGGTAAGAGGGCTGCCAGGCTCGCTCTCCAGATAGATGCGGAAACCATGGGTGTTCTGAGCGTGCTGGAGAAGGAACCAGGCGCTGGTGAAGGGCTGCTTACAGGTGGTGCAGGTGTAGCTGCTGGGCTCATCTTTATCTGCCAGAAGGAAAGGACACACAGGGAGAAGACATTAGACGGTGACCTGACTGGTACCGATAAGAGGAGCAGTTTGGTCATAAGAAATATTCAATGAAGATGCAGGAAAAGTCATGACTTGCTTAACTCAGCTGGGGCTTGGACTGTCTTTTTTCTTTTTTGAATCAGATGAATACGCCGGTCCTATATTTCTATTGTTAAAAATGCTGCGGTGAAGGACAAAATCATCTTTTTTCATATTTCTTCCTTTGTTTTTTTAAACTACAACTGCATCCTTCTGCACTGTTAAAAATTAAAAAATTATATTATTAAATATATATTATATTATTTTTAGTTATAGGAATGGAGTCAGGAACCTTAAAAAAAGACATTATCCTATGTTATAAAATATTAAATGAAATTTTCCTATAACCTGGTCTTGGTAAAATCACTAAAATTACATTAGGCTTGGAACAGCTTATTATTATCATTCTTATTATTTAACAATAATTAAATAAATAAAATAAAAAAATATTATTTAAAAATGATTAAAAATTAAATAAAATTATTTAAATATGTGAAATTTGAAATCCTCAGTGCACTGCTGTTAAAAAACAAATCACGTATTTATCAAACCAACAGTGAGCAGCAGTGAGTGTACGCTCAACCACGGAACTATTAAAGGGATAATGAGAGACACTGTGTACCAGGCAGCACATTTACACAGCTGAGGAGATGCAGGAATATTTCAAACAATAATTGACTTTGAACAGCACTTGCACGCTGACCTGAGATTTGCCTGACAATGCACACGGCTAATCTCATTAAACACACTCATCTCCCCTCCGATGCCTTGTTTACAGAATTAGCCAGGCTAAAGTGGGACATGTATCTGATGCTGCATATTAACGCTGAATACAAACACCAGGTCACATGCAAATAAATTGTTGGCAGCCATTATCACCAAACACACACACACACACACATTCACAGCAATGAGAAACACCGGAGGTAGAACTGTTTGTGTTTGTGAGTGGGCGCTGAAGCCTGTGTGAAAAAGGCCTTTAATGCAGTGTCTTATTTTTTCTCTTCTCTCTCTATTTCCGATATTTCATGCTTTAAGGATTTATTTAAATCCTCTCAGGTGAAGAGGAAAGCAGAAGTGAGAGATATGCAAAATAAGAAGCATCCGTCACTCCACACTCAAATGCGCTGCTTCTTTCATCTTTCGCCTGTCTTATTCTCTCTTCTCTTTTTTTTTTCTTTTTTGTTCTCATTCTTTCACTGAAGGACATTTTCCTGAAGTCATTTTGAAGATGCTAAACCCAAATCCGTGACTATGGTATGCCGGAGAGAGAGGAGGTGGCGGTGGAGGGGGGTGGTTGCGGTTACAGCTTAGCAGTGATTCCTAAGATGGTGGATGGACAGCACTGAGTGTTTAAACCTGCTGTGACTGAGAGACCAGGGACAGAAAGAAAGACAGGGGCAGGAGGAGAAGATGGCAGGCTGCAGAGAGGACAGATAGAGGTGTTTTTGTGGGTCCACGTCCACCGTGGCCCCCTCTCTGGCACCTCACTTTAAGACCAGAACACGACATCAAATGTGCACCCAATCAAACCTACACGCAGACCCTTTCCTCTCCGCTGAAAGGAGTTGGACGGGGGAGCGAGGGGGGGTATACTGGTAAATTATGGATCATTACAATCTGCTAAAATTACAGTTAATTGCTGCCACCTGCAAGGGGCTTTGACCCACTATGGAATTTTTCCATCATAAAAAAGCCATTTGCCCGTAGACTTTCTTTTCCTCTCGTAGGCACATATAAAAATGTAGCCGTTACATTGGTGTGCTATATCACATTTACCCGTATGCCGTGTGTTTTAATGGATTTAAAAGACGAAGCCCTGAGCACTTGTAAAGTGGTTGTTATAACCTGACTCTTTCAGTCCCTTTTCTCTTTGATTCGCAGCCTGGTGCGTGTGCAGACAGTGTGCAGTCGAGGACAGGAATTGTAAGGTGGCCTCGGAAAAAGTCATTCTTTTGAAAGTATCACTCAAAGTGTGTTAATGGAGAGGAGGAATTCTTTCTTTTTCTTCTATTTTCTCACCACAGCAGCACTTGATGTTCTAGTGCTACTAAGGGATAATATAATGTTTCACTTTCTGAACTGAGAGTGGATGCATCCTGGTCTGACGGTCAGTCCGTCCGTAGTAAACATCGAAATACTTGAAGCCTAAGCTCACACATGGAGACGTGTTAGTGTGAACACACTATAAGAGCATTAACATGGACATGACCTCAGCGATGGTAATGACAGAGCGGAACATGGCGTTTGAAATACTGTACAACACCAAGGGGTGAACAACAACAACTAAAATGGTTTCTCAAGCGTTTGGGTTTCAGCTTTTGGCAAACCACTGAAACGTCTACTGGAGTTTTCCCTCAATTCTCTGCTGCCTCTTCAAAAATGTGCTCTAAAGAAGAAATCAAATATAAAATAAAAAATATTTACACACTTGACCAAGTGACATTTGGTGTTAAACTCTAGGGAAGTGTATACTGTATTTATGTTGGGAAAGATTTTGTCTGGTGTGTCGTCCTCTATTCTCAGGGCTGTTTGTGGAAAAATGAGTGAATTAAAGAGTCAGCGGTGGAAGAAAGACAAGGAGTGAGGAGGAAGAGAAGTGTGGCGTGAAGGGGACGTCCCTAATGACAAGCCACCCACTTTCTGAAGGACACCAGATCCACAACCAGGGCAAAAGTAGTTTCATCCACACACACACACACACACGTATATATGTATATATATATATATATATATATATATATACATATATATATATTTTTTTTTTCTCCATTCAAACGTGGAACCTGCGTCAGGCTGTTGACAAACTCCTCTCATGCCACAAGCAGCAACAATAACTGTCATCTCGTCGTGGGCAGTGGACAGATTGATGGGCATCAAAAAGCCAAATCACCACATGCCTAAATGCACAACAGAGAAGACACCTCCATGTTGTTGTTCCTAAAAGCTGTCCTTAAAAGAAGCAGTTTTGGAGCCGGAGCTGACGAGGCGTTTGACGGCCCCGGAGCTTTCTTTATGTGAGAAGGGAAAGAAGGATGATCTTATAAATAAGTCCGTCCTCTAATGGAATAAAGGAGAAGTTTATCGGACTTTTTCTCCGTCTCTTTCTCTCCTTCCAGCTCGCTCTAAGTCTGTGGTGAGTTAGGGCTGGAGAGCCAGGAGAGTTGGAGCTAATGCTGGATCTCAGGTCCTTTGAAATAGGATCAGCGGAGAGGAGAAATCACACTGACAACCCCTGAGCTGCCATTTCATGGCAGGGGCTGAAAAAAGGATGAAGGAGGGGGAAGGAGAGAGGAGCAGTCGAAGGAGGAGGGGGCTGCTGCTGCCGCTGCCGCTGTAGCTGCTGCTGCTGCCGCTCGGGCCGCCGCGCCGGCCGCGCGGGCTCGCTGCTGCTGCTGCTGCTGCTGCTGCTGGTGACACTGCGGTGTCTAACGGACACAGTGTACTGAAATCAGACGCAGAATATGATCTGTGAGAAACCAACCAGAGTAACTGACACAAGGGGAAGTCACGGCGCCGTGAGCTACAGATATGGTCGCCCCGTCCTCCAGCAGCACTGACCAGACAAAGCAAAACGCACGCACAAATCTACAAGGCCCAGGATTGGAGTACATTTCATATGCATATGCAGATTGCTCTTTTGTTTGTTACCCAACCCCCAACCTGCAGTCTCCCTCATAAACACACACACACACACACACTGACCTTTGCTCCCATGTCCCCTATTGTAATATCAAACTCAACACAGTCAACAACACAAACAACCAGAACAACGTGGGCTGTCCACGTACCAGCATGTGGTCGTCCAACTGGGAGCTGAGAGTTCGATCCCGAGTTACACTGAGCCACTCCTGGACATGATGCTACACTGATGTGGGCCTAATGTGGCTCACATGTAACAAGGAAACACAGAGCTGAGGCAGAGAACACGGGGAAATGTTCTGGAGCCTGGGATTGTTCTGTTTGGAACCGTTTCGAACCAAAGTAAATCTGTGTTCTTGAGCAACGACTTCATCAAGAAACTCTCATCCACTTCCCGGCCACTTTTTAAAAAATAACTTGTTGACCATTTAAATTGACATTTATGTAAAAATCCAACGAAGGACCAGGGTTGAAAAGCAACAACAGCTGAGTTGTAACTTTGTTCAATTTCAAAACTCTGTGTCTACTCACTCCGATCGACCTCCAAAGTAACTGATTCGTCCTTGACCAACCATCATGGCGGATCAGGCCTTACTGGTGTGACCACGCAACTCTGCCCGATATTGGTCATTTAGCTAATGGAGGAACAAGCTAACAGGATTAGCTCTCAGGCCGTCCAAAAAGAGAATGAGAACAGTGGAGGAGGAGCAGGAGGAGGAGGAGAGAGGAAGCACACAGGGACATGCAGCCTGTCACTGTCGTTTCCTCAAGTTATCAGTTGACTGGGCTCCCAGGCACACACACACACACACACACACACACACACACATTCCTGAAAAGTGATTATGCTAATAGCAGGTCTTTGCCAATATTCATAAGTGTTTATAGGTGTTGGAGTGAGTGGCTCACTAAGACGGATGGCTGTCAATACAGTGGCTCTGGAGAGTGCCTCGGCCACAACTGGCGTTAATGTGATTACCACTGCGTTTATGTCGTTAGGGTGTTCACAGTCAGGATGAGGCAGAGGTGGAGGGTGAAGCTGAAGAGGCTGAAGAGGGAGGAGGTGGAGAAGATGATGATGATGATGATGATGATGAAGGGGGGAAGGCAGCAGCGTCCACTGATGTTCTTCTTCTGAGTCCCTAAAGCAGGGGTCACCAGTTATATTTATCAGACATTTTGTCTAGGCCTCGACGACTGATTGTTCGTCGTCTGATTCGGCCTGAAGGCCACCAGTTATTGATAACTAAATTTCAACATTGAAGTTCAGCTCTCAGTGAGTTGGACTGAGCTG